AAATAGGATGATTGGTCTTATTTGAGCAGATGATCCCTCTTGTTTATGGGTCAGTAGGTCAAAGGTTAAGGTCACAGTGACCATTGGTCATTTTCTCATTTCCGGATGATAACTAGAGTTATTTAAATTTCATTTGTGAAACTATATATGATATGACCATCAAGTGCAATTTCGTTTGACGCCCGCCTGCCATACGCTGATTGAATAACCAGGATTTTCAAAATTGAATACCTGGTTAAAAACAAACAGTTTAGGAAGCATCTTCTCATACAACCTTAACAATAGAAACCATCCATAGACAGCCTTCATTGAAGTGACTACCGGGTATTTACATTATCTTATCTCCATTTCCATTCCTGTTTCCATTCACAGTTATTCTCAGCAGTGGGGGAGACATGCGCTTTTTTACAAAAGCATCCTCTAGTCTTGAAAAGTATTCATCACAAAGTCTTCATATTTCACATAGTGATTGGTCATCACTAGTAGATGACCCCTATTGATTTTGGGGTCACTAGGTCAAAGGTCAAGGTCACAGGGGCCTTAAATGTCAAAAGGGTTTCCGCTGATTATCTTGAAAAGTATTCATCACAAAGTCTTCATATTTCACCTAGTTACTGGTCATAAGTATTAGATGACCTCTATTGATTTAGGGGTCATTAGGTCAAAGGTCAATGTCACATGGGCCTTAAATGTCAAAATGGTTTCCGTTGATTTTTCCATAATTGAACACTTCCATGTACCCATTTTTGGCAAGTTTCTTTAATAAAATTACCAATTATGTGAGTCAATGCCTAGAAAGGGGGGTATATGTGTCGTTCGACATTCTTGTTTTTTTTAGAATTGACCAAAATTATTATTGTGCAATTCTTTAAGTGCAGTTTGAAATGAAAAGCTCTATTTACAAAAGTATCTAATCTACACATTTCAAGTTTTATGTTGTTATATCTGTTTTACAAAAATATATTGGTACTTAGACAAAACTCAAGAGACATAAAGCAGACAAAAATGCAGAAAAAATCATATATCACCAATTGGAAAAAAAAGGTACTATCAGTCTGCAATCCAGGACTGAAAGTTGTATCACATATTATGACATTCTCTTTATAAATATTTGATAAACCTATTCAATGTTTTTTGGTTGGTGAGAAGTTAAAGAATAGATTTATTTATTAGTGAGTTGGTAAATGTAGCTTTGAATCCTATTTTCTTTTTTATATTTTAGACAAAAATAATAAACTATTATGACATAATTACATATTCTGCTATTCAAATATATTACAGCTTAGCAAGGCGTGGTCAGAATCACCAGTCCTACCCCCAGCAATATAACAATACCATATCATCTCATCCAAAGGTAAAAATATGTTACTTGAATGTATTAATATTACATTATATTCTTTGTTCATTTTCCAATATATCCATGCACTGCTACCTCAAATCACATTTTCATACCTAACTTTAAGCAAACTCTCCTCGATTTTAAAACCTGAAGATTTAGGATATACGAATCAACTAGAATGATAAGATTAACAAGGACATGTCTAATTATATGTAGATATTCATTCTTATTTAGGCATTTAACATATTCAGCATAAAGGTAAAATAGGGCGTGTAATCTTCTAGTAAATGTAAAGACATCTTTGTCATTAATCTCTTTATAAATGGTTGTAATTCCTTGGTCTGTGGTTGGACATTTATAGGGTGCTAAATTTGTACACATAGATTTGTCAGATAAATATTCTAGTACCTTGGTGCTCATCCATACCTTGCTTTCCAGCAATAAGAGATAAATCTGGAGTAGTATTCAACTTGTTAAATAATTTAGTATTGAACCTTTACTCACTCAATATCCTCTATATGTTAATCATTGGCATTACAAAAATCAAGTGCAGAAAGCATATTTTACAAACTGACTGATTGATTTTTAGCTCGACTTTTCTATGAAAAGGGGAGCTATCCTACTCGCCCCGGCGTCGGCGTCGGCGTTGGCGTCACACCTTGGTTAAGTTTTTCGTACCACCCCACTTTATTTCAGAAGTATTACAAGTATGGCTTTGAAACTTACCATACTTGTTCACCATCATAACCTCCATCTACAGACAAGAGTACATAACTCTGTCAAGGTTTTTGACAGAATTATGGCCCTTTTTTGACTTAGAAAGTGTATTGAGCTTGGTTAAGTTTTTTGTACCACCTCACTTTATTTCAAAACCATTGGAGGTATTGCTTTGAAACTGACCATACTTGTTTACCATCACGACCTTCATCAACAGACAAGAGGACATAACTCTGTCAAGGTTTTTGACAGAATTATGCCCCTTTTTGACTTAGAAAATACATTGAATATGGGTAAAATCCACTTATTGCCTTAACCCTTTGAGATATTGCTTTGAAACTTTTAATGCTATTTCACATCATTACCCCCATCTGTACGCAAGAGAAGGTAACTCTGTCAAGGATTTGTTTTAAAAATTAAGGCCTTTTATCGACTTAGAATCTTGGTTAAGTTTTTAGTACCAGTCCACTTTTTGACTGAACTGTTTGAGATATTAATTTGAAAGTTGGAATACTTGTTTACAATCATGATTCCCAAACATGTCATTTACCAAGGTGTTCTGAGTGACGTAAAAATACCTTATTCTCTCAAAGTGGGTTTAATACTATTAAATTTATTTAAGGCTCAACTCAGTTTTTTTTTCTTTCTTACCAGCCCTCTTTTGACTTAAACATTTCAAACTTTGCTGCAGTGTTCAAGGGTATCACACAATTCAGTAAAATAATTCTTCACTAAATATCTTAATGCTCATGGCCATTGTTCACTTTAAAAATACAGAGATTCTTGTATTGCCTTTTACTGCAAAAACTTTTTTTATTGGCAAGCAATAAAAAAGTCGAGCGCGCTGTCTTACGGACAGCTCTTGTTACATATGAGCCGCGTCACGACAAAATTAACATAATGGGTTTGCGACCAGCATGGATCCAGACCAGCCTGCGCATCCTACAAACCCTGTCACAAGTAGGGAAACTGATAGCAACAGCATGGATCCTGATCAGACTGCATGGATGCGCAGGCTGGTCTGGATCCATGCTGGTCGCAAACCCATTATGTTGGTTTTGTTGTGACGCGGCTCATATGTTGTATTTGTTCTCAAAAGAAATTGCTAATGTTTGTAAGGAATAATAAATTGAATATCTCAATCAATTACACATAAATATACATTTATGTATCTTTTATTACAGCATTTCACAGCTGATATCAGAAGTATTCCACAATTTCATGAAAACCATTTATTTTATGAACCCAAAAATTCCCCACGCTATCAGACTTTTACCAGTCCTATTCATGGGTATCATCCCCCACCCACTGCAGTGTTCAAGGTATACAGTGTGTATGGACATGGGCTGTTTCTGTGCTTTGAATAATAGGGAAACTTTAAGGGGACCATACTTTATGGACAAATTTAACAAAGTTTTGTAGACAAAATATTAATTATTAAGAGTTAAATTTAGCTTGAAAAGCTCTTGGCAGCATATTTTGTTAAAGAGGTTATTTGAAAATGAATATGTTTTTTTTTTTAGATCGCATATCATCTGTCATTCACATCATGAGCTCTGTGTATATATTCTGTTGATGGTTTATACACAAAGTTCATCATCATGATATGACCTTGGGAGTTGTTATTTTTTTGCTTCAAACATTATCTACAATTTAATGGCAGGGTGCTTTAATGAAAAATAGTTCATTATTTCTGAGTTCTCATGACATATAGAGTACAGCCATAGTACTATTTAAGTGAATGACAGTTTTCGGTTCCAAGCTATAAAGAAGTATCATGGGTTGTGTGGTGGGTTTTTCACTTAATGTTTGTTTGTTTGTTTGGGTTTCGGTGTGTGATGATAACATTTTTGTCTTACAAAACAGTGTTTGTTTGTTAACAATCGTACAGTCTGCCAAGGCTCTATTTTTGTATTTTCATACTGAAACCCTTTAAGCTTTGAATGGACTGTTCCAAATTCAAAGCTGGGCAAATCCATTTCAGATAGTCAGCAGGATAAGGGGGTCTAAAATAATGAACAGATAGGCATTTTATGGCTGACTTATTATGGATAAAGCTAAAAATATCTTGTCATGTAACCATAACAATATGAAAATGCAATTTATGAAAATGCAATAGAAAAGGGGGACAATCCTTTTTTTGTTTTGTTGATTTTTTTTGGGGGGGGGAGAGAGGTTGATTACTATTTATAATGGATGATTTATTTTTGAAAGGTAGGTTTATGGGCATTTAGCTTAGCTTTAAATCATGTAACTATACAGAAAAAAGTAATCACAATGTGAAGGGATTTACTGTCACACAATATACAGCATATAGTATTCAGAATCGTTGAAGATTATATATAATGTTATCAAACCAAGGTTTTTGCTCTTTTACTACATTATATACCATAATAATCTCACCAAAATATTCTATATGGGAAGCAGTGCTTTGTGGGTAAAGTGTTTCACTTCTAAAACATGGCTCATTGTACCAAGCCCTACTGAGGTAACAGCCATTACTTCTTGTATAAGAAATCAGTATTGGTTAATTTCAGGGCTTTGACTTTTGAGTGGATCTATTAAGTTGGTAGCTTTTTACATAACTGAGCTTACATTCAAACTCAACATTCAAATGAATTGCTAATAATTGAAATAGTTGAATCATTTGATAAATTAAGTGATTGAATAGCCTAATTATAACACATTATGTAGCAAAATTATGAAATGCACCCTTATTTTAATATTTACAATTTTTTTATGCCCCCACAATGTGGGAGCATATAGCGTTGCACTTGTCCGTCCGTCAGTCCGTCCGTCCGTACGTCCCGAAATCTTGTGAACGCAACTCCTCTTAAACCGTATGGCAGATTTTGCTTAAACTTACAGGGATGAACAACCTTAATGTGTAGATGGTAGTAAAGGAAGGAATTTTCGCTGCGACCAAATTTAACAGAATTATGGCCCTTTGTTGATTTTTTCACTAGATACTATGTAGAAATTTTGTGAACGCAACTCCTCTTAAACCGGATGGCAGATTTTGCTTAAACTTACAGGGATGAACAACCTTAATGTGTAGATGGTAGTAAAGGAAGGAATTTTCGCTGAGAATTTGTTGATTTTTTCACTATATACTATGCAGAAATTTTGTGAATGCAACTCCTCTTAAACCGGATGGCAGATTGTGCTTAAACTTCCAGGGATGAACAACCTTCAGGTGTAGATGGTAGTAAAGGAAGGAATTTTCGCTGAGAATTTGTTGATTTTTTCACTATATACTATGCAGAAATTTTGTGAATGCAACTCCTCTTAAACCGGATGGCAGATTGTGCTTAAACTTCCAGGGATGAACAACCTTAATGTGTAGATTGTAGTAAAGGAAGGAATTTTTGCTGCAACCAAATTTAACAGAATTATGGCCCTTTTTTGATTTTTTCATTATATACTATGTAGAAATTTTGTGAACGCAACTCCTCTTAAACCGGATGGCAGATTTTGCTTAAACTTGCTTAACAACCTTAATGTGTAGATGGTAGTAAAGGAAGGAATTTTTGCTGCGACCAAATTTAACAGAATTATGGCCCTTTGTTGATTTTTAGTTTTCAACTTGTGGCACATGTAGTCCAAAAAATATTTGACCTAGAGTCATAAGATTGACAGAACAGTGGCGTGTGGGGGCATCCGTGTCCTATGGACACATTTCTAGTTGTGTATATGTAATAGTTAGATACTAATAAGAAAAAACTCTTTAACAATTTAAACAGCTAAAAGGATGGAGCAGAGTGACTTATTGTAGCTTTTTTAAAGCGTCATAAATTTTTATATGCCTGATGACACTTGTCATGTCTTCAGCAATCTTTTAAACAAGAAAATTCACACAAAGTATTAGAATGAAGCTAGTGTTAAAATAGTCATAACTATGGAAAGATATGCCATTTAGTGTGTCTTTTGTTTCACTTTAAAGTGCATTTCATAACCATAAAGTATATTTTTGTCACAGTATTTTTCAAGCGTTAAAATTGTAATTATTTGGTTAGGATGCCTTTGCTGTGTATCTAATCAACTGTTAAGTGAACTTGTGCATTTGTTTCTTACAAGATTTCTGTATTAAAACTAGTGTAATAGGCGGCCTATTCTTAGTCACTGCTTTGTGGAAATGTCAGCAATTTTTGTTGTTCATTTTGACATGAATCTTATCTTTACTGGTTGCAGATTCATTGAATTAAGTCATTGCCTTCTGTAACTAAAATTTAGATATAAATTTGAAAATGTGACAGTGAATAGCTTAACAAAAAGATCTTCTGTTTATTTTTATGTTTTTATAAAAACTTGTAATTTGTAAATACTTTACAAATTCTACTATGAAGTCTGTTGCTTTTTCACTACTTGTTTGTGTTCTTGTATTTTCAGCCAATAGATGCCATAGATGCTAGAAACACTATGACTGATAACAGAAATATGAACAGGTTGGTTATCTTATATAAATATTGTTTTAGAAACCCACTTATGAACAAATCCTATGGTCTGTAATCCTCATTATTGATCAGATTTAAAATATTGTAAAGAATAAATTATTGAAAACAATGGGTTATTATGTAATGTGCACAATATTATTTGTAATTTTGATATATTGTTTTATTTTATCTTGCACACTTTTTTGATGACATTTTCAAATATAATCCTTACAGATGCAGTGTGGCCATACCACGTGACTATGACGTCATTTTCGGCATCATTTCCAAGACAAATGTTGCTCGATTCGGAATTGAAAATAGCCGTAAATATTTTATTTCTGTGCCAATTTCTTTGGGATATGCACCAGTCTACGGGGAAAAATATAAGCTTTCCACAGAATATTGGATCGTCGTCAGTTTATAAGCCGTTTTATCAAACACTTTGCATAACCTTGGAAGTTGCTTGTATTTGAGCGGGCTTCAGTTGCAAGCTCTTTCGTTTTCTGGCGTTATCTGGTCTACGCCATGATTAAAAAGTCAGGTTTACATCAACCGGGAGTACGGAAGGCAAAACTCTACCTAAATATGTTCATATTTTTATTATGAATGACATAAATCTTACATTTTTCTCCAATTGTCAAATCTGGCACCTGTTCCAAGTCGAAAAAAAGGACTACAGTTTAAAGCAGATTTTAGAATCTGTTGCAAATGCAAAGCAACATGCCTACCGTACTCTTTCTACAATTTAGTTTTTTTATTGTTGATCTTTCACAGAGAGATTGTGGGAAAAAAAAACTAATGTTTCTTAAAGCAATTACACTTACATGTATCGCAATAGTGCACGACACGTAGATTAAGTCCTGTCGAAAAATAATATTTTTGGTTTCGTTTTGAAGATGTTTGAAGTATTGCTCATCTTATCCTATGTAGTTAAAATGTGTTTTATTCTATTTCACAATGGCGAAATTGATAAGAAATATATGTGCTCTTAGTGAGAGAAAGAGTTAAAATAAAAAAAAAAAAAAAAACTTTTGTATGCTACGGAAATTGTTACACTTTAACGCGAGTGTTGTAAAGTTATAATTCTATTTTTTGTAAAGAGTAACTGACAAACACTGACACACGTGAATGTGACGAATAGGTTCTTCTGTCGTCAAAAGAGAGACTTTTAAAAGGTATATATTTGGAATTGCCGTATTATAAATTTCTATAGAGTTTGATAAACGAAATCACAATTTGAAGTACTATGCACATAAATCAGTATATAAATCAAGAATCTAATTGCCACGCGCATTTACATGACGTTGACATTTTATGCTAATTAAACTATAAGCACTTTCATCATCAATAAAGAGCGAGAATGGAGACCATGTGGAGTAAACAAAGTAAAAAATAGTAAACAGATAAATGATTTAACAAAACAAAACATTCAAAAAGACGGAAATAACAATGATTATCAATAATTATATGAATATTTACATTAAGATCTGTAATAGCAACACCGGCAATATCTATAACTGGGGTCCATATGACACTGATGCGTCCATTGAATAATTGATAGCTAACATAAACTAAGTAAAATTACGATTACTTTTGAAGAGTATATTCAATTTTTATACTTCAACTGTCAAATGACTTACTTCTTTATTTACATATCAGATAATTCACTTATTTGGCAAATGCATTATGTTTATCATGTTTTAGATTTTAATATGTGGTCCTTTTTTAAATCTTAAAATGCTACAAAAATCCTGTTGAGGACATCTGCATGTCATGCCGCGTGCAATAATCCATGCATTTACAGCCAATGACCACATCGATAAGAAATAGTCCAAAATAGCCCTATCGTTTTTATTTAGTTGAAAGAGACATTATTGTTAAAACATTCTACTCGATTTAAATGTTTTAAAACCATTTGTATCATAGTTTGGGGACCTTTCTGTTGAAAATGTGTCAGGGTTAAATCGTATACATATACATGCACAGTGCGTTAACTGGAGTGCGGGTATTAGTTACCCGCACTCCAGAGCATGCCCATTGATTGGCTCATTTTTGCTGGGGTTTACATATTGTGACGGCAGAGAAAGGGAAAGCGACAGAAATGTCATATTCAGATGTTCGTTCATTGGTTCATTTTTGCCGGGGTTTCATATTGTGACAACAGGGAACGTGCTTTTAGTTTGACTATGATACAAAAGAGAAAGAACACCAAAACACTCGGCAATCTGATTAACACTCGGGGGCTACGCCCCCTCGTACAAATCAGATAGCCTCGTGTTTCGGTGCTCTTTCTATTACAAATATTCCTTTCCCTTCCTCTCTTTATTACAATGTGTATTAGTGAGCTCTCTGATAAAGCTGGGTTGACTGATATAATTAACTAAATTTGTCAGATATGCAGTTTATTAACATAAATAAATGCAATAATAAAATAAATAGTGTTTAGTGTTCCTAAGTGAACGAAGTTATATCCAGTTCACGAAAAACGGTTACCGTGGGTATGAAAACAGGATGTAAAATAATTTTATCAACGAGTGCCACTGTGTTAAAAAGCTGAATATATCATACTAAAACATTGCTACAGGTTCTTTACCAAGTATATACAAGTATATATGGTTATACGTATAAATAACTCTTTTCAAAAGAATAACATTTGACTTTAAAATTGCCGCGTTGAGGCGTAAAGTTCCTTTTTCACAGTATACAAATGGAAGTGATCCTGAATGTGCACGTTCATTGGACAGGCTAGCTAAGTCAAACCGAGCCTGCAACATTTTCAATTTGGCCGTTTTTGGCGATATTTAGAGTTTCTGTTTTCTCTCTATTTTGAATATTCTACGTTTAGTATTGCTTCATGACACTAATAGATTTTTCATAATCATTACCGTGAAAGAGAGAATGATTACATTCTTTACAAATGCTTTTTACGACTTTTTAAAATCACTTATAGCGCAGCGAGTATAAAAATCATTTAAATATTCATTTGTGTTTATGTAAATCGTATAATAGTAAATAAAATGTTTTTCATGGTTAACATAATTATAGAAAGAGAACAGTAGGCATGTTGCTTTGCATTTGCAACGGGTTCTAAAATCTGCTTTAAACTGTAGTCCTTTTTTTCGACTTGGAACAGGTGCCAGAATTGACAATTGAAGGAAAATGTAAGATTTATGTAATTCATAATAAAAATATGAACATATTTAGGTAGAGTTTTGCCTTCCGTACTCCCGGTTGATTTAAATCTGGCTTTTAATCATGGCGTAGACCAGATAACGCCAGAAAACGAAATAGCTTGCAACTGAAGCCCGCTCTAATACAAGCAACTTCCAAGGTTATGCAAAGTGTTTGATAAAACGGCTTATAAACTGACGACGATCCAATATTCTGTGGAAAGCTTATATTTTTCCCCGTAGACTGGTGCATATCCCAAAGAAATTGGCACAGAAATAAAATATTTACGGCTATTTTATTTTCCGAATCGAGCAGCATTTGTCTTGATAATGATGCCGAAAATGACGTCATAGTCACGTGGTATGGCCACACTGAGATGATTATTTGGGATTATATGCATTGTCAATTTTCCTTTGTTTTGATGTTCAAATTTAATTTATTTTATCAAAATTATTCATTATTTTATCAAAATTTATATGACTTTATCAGAGTTTTAATTATTTTATGGACATTGTTGAAGGAAACAGACAGGCATGATCTTAATCTTTTTATACGATAGTAACACACTTTGATATCTCAGTCATATGAGCCGCGTCATGACAAAACCAACATAATGGGTTTACGACCAGCATGGATCCAGACCAGCCTGCGCATCCAGCCTGTCAGGATCCATGCTGTTCGCTTACAAATCCTATAACAAGTAGAGAAACTGATAGCGTACAGCATGGATCCTGATCAGACTGCGCGGATGCGCAGGCTGGTCTGGATCCATACTGGTCGCGAACCCAGTATGTTGGTTTTGTCATGACGCAGCTCATAAAAGGATCTCACATTAGCTGCTGTACAGACCGGAATATCTAGCTTGAGGGTAACTGTTTACAGTTGTAATGAGGCTGTGCTGATCTTCTGCTTTACAATTACCCAAGAGCTAGATATTGATGTCTTTGACGACATCTGGTGTTTTATTACTTTAATTGCATATTGCATGTTACTCATAATTTGGAAAGAAATTACAGAAACTTATATTTTTATTTAGTACTTTTTTCTTAAAGTAGCAAATGAATTTAGAACTTCATTCATAACAGTAAAATGATGTCATTCAAAGAACGCAGTTCATTAAAAAAAAAAAAACGCACAGAAATGACATTTTTTAAAGCACACATCTTGTCTTACATGGGAGGTGTAAGACAGGTTTTTCTAGCTCTTGTGTAAAGAGTAGATAATCCTGTTTGATATGCAAGAATGATAAGTCTGTATAGTGCAATTAAACTTCAAAAATTATATAAAGGGAATAAGTATCTGAGTAAAAAAGTAGGTTTTGATTGAAATATCTTTTTATTTAATCTATGGAAATATTTCTATAGATATTCAGCATTAAGTATGACTGTAAACAATGTTGTATGGAAAGTTAGTGTTCTACAGCACTCAATGACCTTTCACAGGTATGAAATGGTTGCTATAGTAACACAATCCTAACACTTGGTTACCAGGGAAAATATTCGTTATAAAAGCAACTTTATAACTATGTTGTTTGTATATTTTGTATGGTAAAATGGCATTTTGGAAAATGAAGTCTCATACAAAAATATAAAATTATCAAATATATTGGTTGCCTAGCAACATTTGTATGATTTCTATAGTAACACAGTTTACCTGGTTATATGATATATTTGCTGATATTTGAAGGGTGTTTGTAATATTTTGACAGCATGATATTATTTTGTTAACCATATTTGGTAAAGATAAAAAAAATGACAAAAAACTTTTGGAATGTTATGTAATATCATTGACCCAGAAGTATTATAGGTATTTATGATTTTTAACCTTGACCTCACTAAATATCTTAAATGGACTTTTCCTTTAAAAATGGACAAAACCATATGTCATTTTTAGGGAAATTTCAAAATAAGTACAGACTGAATAGCAAACAGTGCAGACCATGAACAGATGGCACAGAATTGCTAGCTGATCTTTGACTGCACTGGTTGCATGGGTACGTTCTGTCACTGCAAGCATGATAAAAGTTGAGTAAAAGAATAAAACAATAGACTAACTCCTGCATTAAGAATATTTCTGTTTTTCCCAGCTAATCTATATTAGGTACAAACAAACTTTCACAGTTACAGCTTAGAAAATACATGCAACAGGTTCGCTAATTTCTTGCGTTGGGTAGAGGACAGTGAAGCTATAACAGTAAAAGTTTGTTTGCACTTATGGATTAGCTGGTAAAAACCCATGTTTGCCAAGTTCCGGTTAACATATATGAGAAAGATATATTTAAAATTAACTACATGTAAAAACACATCAATGTTCTTTGCTCTTTTATGCCAATATTTTTAAAAAAAAATTATAAGAAATTATGAATGTAATGTTTTGTGATAAAGCAGTTTGTTTTTTAATATTGCATGTCAGGTTGTGGTTTTTTGTTGAATGCTGTAAAGAAATGAAAAGTGAAACAAAATATTTGCTTATGTTTACAGTAATAGAATATTTGATTTGATGTTAATATAATAGCATCTCCATACCTTATATAATTGCATGTTAGTTTTCCCGTAGTGTTGTTTTGGTGTTGTAATGTACATTTTAGACATTTTCCTTTGTTATACATGTTTATTCACCTTTTAACTTGAGTGGTTAAGTTATTTAGGTTGATGACTACAAATGATTTTCATTGCTATTGGTTGATGACTGCAAATGATTTTTTATTACCATAGGTTTGAATCCCGTCAGTAACTTTAAATTCTTTTGTGAAGAATTGGTCCAACTAGCTTACAGAGGGTCATTGGTTCTACTTTGTGCATGCTTGGGCCTGTAATGAAATTCTGATTGGGCATCTTATGTCTTACTCCATCAGTTAAGCTGGAGAGAGATCAGAATACCTTTAAAATGACGGAGTGACTTTAATATCCAACCCAAGCAAAATAATGACAATTTTCTGACAAATCGTCTTCATACAATGTAATTACATTTCATAATTATGATTATGATTGTATCTTTTGAACCTATTTCTATCACTATCAAAGTTTGCTTAAGGGATATTTCATAACTAAAGAATGATTTGTATACTAAATATAGTATGCAATTTGTGCACCCATTACCAGAATATGTACAATTATGCTATTTTTATGATTTTCCAGAAAAAAATCCCTCCTTACACATTTACCCAATTTATGTTGTTTTAACTAACCACTAACCGTTATATAGATGAAGTCTAATATTGTACCATGTTTTATGTTGTTTGCACAGTTCACAAAGCACTTCAGATACTAAACTACATGACCTACAAGGTCAAAGTGAATTGGTCCCTGAAGGTGAACAAGGTGAAGGTCATGACCTCACTGAAGATAGGTAACTAGATAGTAACTCTTGGTTTTTCTCTGAACACAAAAATGAAGATAGGTAATTCTTGGCTAACCTCGGAACACACAACTTGTTCAGTGCTGAAAGTTACATTTCTTATTGCTTTTTTTCTCTGTGTAGCTTTTTCATATGACCTTTAAAGAAACAAGCAGTTTAGTTGTTGCTTTTAATAGTATTAATGGCTATTGCACCTTTGGATTGTAACCCCTACCCTCTTCCCTATCCCTGGAGAATAGCAGGGACTTAAAGGCCAGGCACTGGGAGGACAGTAAAATAAAAAATTCTCTGTTAAATAATCACCATATTGCTAGCTGGGGATACATCCTGAGATACTGTAACCCAACGAATATTCGCGACCAATTAATATTCGCTTTATTCGCGGATGGCCACGAAGCGCGAATATTTGTTTGCGCGAATAAGTCCGCACGATTTCGCGAATAAATTGGAGAGAAATTTTTATTTTAGACGTGGCTATGCAAAGCTACTTGACCGAATATATTCGAATTTTACGGGCACATGTTAGGAAGTAATGAATTGTTATGAATATTGCCATAAAGCAATAAAAACACAAACTAAGTAAACTACTACTATTTTATAAATATCAAAAGAACTCTATGTCAATATAACAATCAAAATAAACATCCTCATTTTAATACAGTTTATGAAATACTAGTAGGCCTATTGTCAATCACGTTCCGTATAGGGTACTATACGGAGCATGTGTCAGTTTTAAGTTTCTTCATATTTACACTTCTATACTAAGTATATGCATACAAAGTACTCGCACTTATTTTAAAATAAATGTTTGACAAAAGTGGTAAAACTATCGAGCATCACAAAAGGCTATTGTTTTTTGGATCCTAAAATAATTGTTTGAGTGAATTGTTAAGATAAAGGTGGTATAAACCTATCGAGTATCACAAAAGGGTATTGGATGTACATAATTACAAACAGTGAAATACAAGATGGTTTCATACTTGTGTCAATCTTTAAACAGCCTGTATAGCTCAATTGGTTAGATTGCGGACTCATATAACATAGTTTTCTCGGTTCGATCCCTGATTGGAGAAGGTATTTTTTTATGAAACGCTTGAATTGAATTTCTTAAAGACTTTTCTAGATTAAAAATGAAGACGAACGATGCGTACATGTACATATATAGAGAAAATGTTTTGATGAATTGTGATCACAATTCACTTACCAATACAATATAAGGCTAGCGTATTGTTAATCCCATTTAAGACACCAATAATGACCTCAATTATTGAAGATTAATAGTCGGCTAATGGATTTACTGCCCCATCGGACTTTCCAATCCGCGAATTTTTTTTTTTCGGAAATCAAGAAAACGCGGAAATTAATATTCGCGAATATGTCCGACCTCGGCAAAACGCGAAAATTTGTATTCGCGAAAATAAATTGGGTTACAGTATTTTGATACCAAATCTTAATCACTGTATTGACTTGGCATAGTGGAAGTAATGAATGCTAAATGCTTAACGTATCTTAATCCCTGCTATCCTCCACATTCTTCTGGGATTGGTTGCTAGGGTTACTCTTGACTAGTGCATATCCTTTTAATCTACCTTTTTTGTTGGGAAAATGATCTTTAAAAACTGCAAAAGGAATTGAATTAGGTTTATCACCATTAGATGAAGAGCACAATACATGCTGGCAATTATTTGGAATCCTCTACTTTAATTCACTGAGTATTTCTGTTCTGGGCATTACATTCTCCATTTTTGTACCCAACACTCTGTGAGGAAGCCTAGACATACACATGTAAAAAGGACAGTATTAATTTTCATTTACGAGACAGGATGGTTCTACCACGTTTGTCTGCTTATGCCCTTAATATTATCCAATTATATTATAAAATACCATGAGGAAAGCAGGGGCCCTAATCTAAGAGATTTTCATGATAGTGACCCTATACACTTTAAAGAATAAATAGCACTACTCTTTCTCACAATTTCATATGTTTCCAAAAGAACTAAGGATAACTTCTACTTTTGATACGTTTCATAATATATGTATAATTATGTATTGATTTATTATTAAAAATAAGGAAGTACCGGTAATTCAAAGATAAAGAACTTTTTTTCTCCTTCCCCCCCTTTCTTTTTGCTGTATAAATGAAGTGATACCTTTAAGACTATCAGCAAGATTTTATACAGTTTCTAATCTCACGAGTTTTATACAAATATTTCTTTTGTTCTTATATTGTCATAGGTTAATTCCTGTTAAAGTTAAAAACGTAACTGCACCTAAGTGATTATAACTTTCGTGATATTTTATGTGTGCATATTGGTTATTTATTTAATAAATTTACATATTATTCATTTGCTTATATAAGCGCCTTTTGTTGTACTAGTGCATGTTTGTTAGTGAACCTTAGAATTAGAACCCACACTTTATCTGTCCCCACACATTGTAGTACATAGCTGTAACACTTTTTAATGATATCAAAGTTAAAATATATTTCCTAAGCTTTTTCATGAGATATTGTAAAGTTTTGGCATGTATATTACAGGGGCGGAGATCAGGGGTTAAACAGTTCCCACAGTAGTGGTGGCACTATGGTGAATACACCTCCTCGTGCCGGACACCAGCATAGATTTGGTACCCAAGATGCAATAGCCAGACTGTACAGTAGTCCTTCTGGAACAAGAAGACAAAACCATGCTGGGAACCAGTCTGGGAATAATGAATTAACCAATCAAAATATGCAATACAATAGGAATTATGGACAGACCAATCAAAGCAAGGGTTGGAACCATCAAAACCCTCCCACCAGGTCCCACCATGGTCAACCACAAACAGTTCAAAGTTATGATAATAATTCTAATGTTGTGAAAACAGTGACCTCAAATAATACCATGAACTCTTCCAATCAGTCAGACTCAGGTTATCAGAGAGCCCAACAAAGGATGTATTCTGGGTTAGAAAATAAAGGAACTATACCACAGAACCATCAAAATGGTATGGTTAATCATTCAATGTCTCAGAATGCCCAGATTCCTGCCAACAGAATGTTTTATACTCAACAGGACAACCATCCAGAATCAAGAACTTCACACACATCCTCCTATACTAGTGATAATAGTTATGCTGTGAAATCACATCCATACAGTACCTCTAGACAGGCTGTGAATGACTCTGATCCAAATGCATATCCTCAGAAATCATTCTATAACCAGTCTAATTCTCAAACTCATTCACAGACTCAAAATTATGGTACACAGTCTGCTGCTGAAAGTAGACTGGGCATACAACCTTCATGGCAATATGTAGCAAATGGCAGAGTTCCAGGATCAAATAGAACACCCAATATAGAGCATAGACAAAGGGTAATTATTTATGTTTTCACTACTTTTTCAGTTTTGTAACTTAGTTACATAATTAAACACAGGGGCACTGCTTATAATAAGAGAACAATTATAGATTTAATTTGTTTTCTTTTCTGCTTTGTGAGTTCTTTTCTTAGCGAATCCATTTACAGAAACATATTTTAATGAAAGAACATTTGAAGATGAATGATAGTACATGAAAATGTTTATTTTTAAACTTTAAAGAATGGCAAGAAAATGAATATTTGATATATTCAAATTGATTTTTTTTCTGGAATAGTTAGGAAATATCATTTTATATTATTCATATCTGTATCAATAATGGCTTATGTATACCACCAAAGTTCTGATATGCCTAACTGCACATTTGTGTAGTCTTACAAGACTTTAAAATGAAGGGTGTTTCATCTAAGATAAATAAAAACAAGAATGTCGAACGACACATATACCCCCCTTTCTAGCCATTGACTCACATAATTGGTAATTGTATTACAGAAACTTGCCAAAAATGGGTACATGGAAGTGTTCAATTATGGAAAAATCAACGGAAACCATTTTGACATTTAAGGCCCATGTGACATTGACCTTTGACCTATTGACCCCTAAATCAATAGAGGTCATCTACTACTTATGACCAATAACTAGGTGATTATGAAGACTTTGTGATGAATACTTTTCAAGATAATCAGCGGAAACCCTTTTGACATTTAAGGCCCCTGTGACTTTGACCTAGTGACCCCAAAATCAATAAGGGTCATCTACTAGTTATGACTAATCACTATGTAAAATATGAAGACTTTGTGATACATACTTTTCAAGATAATCAGCGGAAACCATTTTGACATTTTAAGGTCCCTGTGACCTTGACCTTTGACCTAGTGACCCCAAATTCAAAAGGGGTCATCTACTAGTGATGACCAATCACTATGTGAAATATGAAGACTTTGTGATACATACTTTTCAAGATAATCAGTGGAAACCATTTTGACATTTTAAAGTCCCTGTGACCTTGACCTTTGACCTAGTGACCCCAAATTCAATAGGGGTCATCTACTAGTGATGACCAATCACTATGTGAAATATGAAGACTTTGTGATACATACTTTTCAAGATAATCAGTGGAAACCATTTTGACATTTTAAAGTCCCTGTGACCTTGACCTTTGACCTAGTGACCCCAAAATCAATAGGGGGTCATCTACTAGTGATGACCAATCACTATGTGATATATGAAGACTTTGTGATACATACTTTTCAAGATAATCAGCGGAAACCATTTTGACTTTTAAGGCCCCTGTGACCGTGACCATTGACCTAGTGACCCCAAAATCAATAGGGGTCATCTATTAGTTATGACCAATCACTGTGTGAACTATGAAGACTTTGTGATACACACTTTTCAAGATAATCAGCGGAAACCATTTTGACATTTAAGGTCCCTGTGACCTTGACCTTTGTCCTAGTGACCCCAAAATCAATAGGGGTCATCTACTAGTTATGACCAATCACTGTGTGAAATATGAAGACTTTGTGATAAATACTTTTCAAGATAATCAGCGGAAACCATTTTGACATTTTAAGGTCCCTGTGACCTTGACCTTTGACCTAGTGACCCCAAAATCAATAGGGGTCATCTACTAGTTATGACCAATCACTGTGTGAAATATGAAGAATTTGTGATAAATACTTTTCAAGATAATCAGCGGAAACCCTTTTGACATTTAAGGCCCCTGTGACCTTAACCTTTGACCAAGTGACCCCAAAATCAATAGGGGTCATATACTAGTTATGACCAATCACTGTGTGAAATATGAAGACTTTGTGATAAATACTTTTCAAGATAATCAGCGGAAACCATTTTGACATTTAAAGCCCCTATGACCTTGACCTTTGACCTAGTGACCCCAAAATCAATAGGGGTCATCTACTAGTTATGACCAATCACTGTGTGAAATATGAAGACTTTGTGATAAATACTTTTCAAGATAATCAGCGGAAACCATGTGGTCTACCGACGGACAGACCGACAGACAGACAGACCGACAGACAGACAGACCGACATTAGCAAAACAATATACCCCCTCTTCTTCGAAGGGGGGCATTAAAAGAGCAAAATCCACCAGTTCCAAATTAAGAATTAACATATCCATTATACAGTGTTGGCAGTTTAGTGTTCAAAAAATTAGCTATGTTAACAGTACCGGTATATTTTACCATCAGTCACTGTATATGATCAATACTTAAATAATGAAGGTGCAACTTGTATTATTGTTTGAAGAGATTTCAGTTTCAAAATGCTTAAGTATCAGACTGTGGGTTGTAACTTTTGTTGACCAGTCTGTGTCTTCACTGATGCCATAGGCATTAGTAGTCTTTATGACTGTTACAGTTATGAAAATCAGTTATTAAAATCTCTTGTTAGTATTAATAGGCTAAAATCATACAGTAGACAAAAATGGAATGTTTTTTTTTATTGTATTGAATAATTTCAGAATAATTTCTTGATAAGTCAACTTACAGAATATCTGTATGGCAGCCATAATCACCCATTAATTTAACTTATTGAGACATAATTTGATGTTATTAAACAAAGCCAAATTTTAGATCTCGCAAAGAAAATTACAGACACATTTAAGTCCCACAAGTTATTGAAGCATATTTACATTCTAAACAGCACAAATTGTCACCTTAGTGCAGTAACAGGTTAACTCTTTATATAATTTAACATGCATTAACCCATTACTGTACCAATGTGACAAAATAGCCTTTCTAACCCCACATAGTGCAGTGATTTAGTACACTAAATAATAGCTACTGATTTACAAATTTTTTTGTCAAATTAGAAGATGTGATTCACTTTATTCATTAGAAAAACTGGCCACAAGGTTTTTAAACTTGTTTTTAAGTTCATTCTCAGATCTCAGGATTTTCATTGGTCAGTGTATATTCTGAGCTTATTTCTGACCCATCAAATACTGAGTTTGAGCATAGAATCTTTCTTAAATTCTTTGACCTTTGACTATTGATGTTTGATAGAAAAGTAGAAAAAAGTCTTGTTATGTCACTGTTTTCAGAAATAATTAGTATTTTGATCTTTACAAGGTTTTATGTGAAATTTCCTTGTAGGAACACAGGCACAATACTGACTATGGAACAAATCCTATATTGATATAAAAAAAGGTTTGATGTCACCTGTTTTACCACTATCATGACTCGTGTAATTCACCTTTCATTTATGTACCCTACAGCAAGCACCCAGCATATTAAAGTTGGTCTGTGAAAAAATTTGATAAAAGATTTTGATGTTTTTTTGAAACTAATAAAAAAA